AGCTTTTCAACTGTTCAGAAATACAATATCAGTTTGGTATAAAGGTCCTAGACCAATACGGCCTCTTCCTAAAAATCACCAAAAAGTTTTCGCCTGGGGTGGGTTTTGTGCTAAGGGCAAAACCAGTTTACACTGTTTTACAGGCATCATGGATGCAAGACTTTACACAGAAATTTTGGAGGAACATCGTCCAGAAATCAGGAGAATGCTTGGAAGAAGGTGGAGATTTCAACAGGATAATGACCCGAAGCATACAAGCTGGGTAGCCAAGGAGTTTTTAAAAGAAAACTTCCCTGAGGTTATGGACTGGCCTTCTAATAGTCCAGACCTTAATCCTATTGAAAATCTGTGGGGAATTGTTAAATATCGTGTTGAAAAACGTATGCCAAGTAATATTTCTGAACTACAGCAATATATGGTGGAGTGGGAAAATATTCCTGATGAATTTTTGACCAACCTTATTTCATCAATGCGCGACCGTTGTCAGCAAGTAATAGACTATAATGGTGAACGAATTAATTATTAATAAAATATGTTTTTTATACCAATAAAACCCTTGCTTTGTAGCTTTCAAACAAGTCATTTCATGTTAAATTTGAAACAGTTTCTATGAAGTTATTGCAAAAAAAGCAGAGGCCAATTTTTTTCTTAACACACTGTATATTAAGGCAAATTGCTGGACGGCAACTGGACGATAAGGATGGAGGAGAAGTAGGATTTGTCTTTGAAATGTACGTTCAATATCTCCTTAGGAGAGGAGACATAACCTGGGAGGCGAAATATCTTGGAATAGTGCGTGGGAATAGAGTGGCAGAGTACGAAAATATGAATGAATTCACTACACCTGCCAACCCAGTGGTCCGGCATTTCCGTGTATGTGAAGATCTGGATAAATTTACATCCCATGACACATTGCTCATGCCAGAATATCGGAATTTTGCTAGTGTTGACTTTATCATGACACCTGATCAGCTGTTTCAAGTTACTCTCAACAAGGATCATGGTATTAAACAAAATTACATAAAGTAAAAGAGTATCCTACAGCACATGCCAGCAAGTGCACAATTTGCAGCCGGAAACACTGCATATCCCATCCGAATCTTCTTTTTGATCCTTGATGATATATTCGACGACTTTGGGCTACAAACATACCGGAACGTGGATAATGAAATATCCCATAACAATCTTAGGTTGCTAGACAAGTTTCATCAATTCGCGGTGAAAATCGATATTACAAAAGCATTAAGTAGTGGATCAACTGGGGTGCAATGAAATCAAGAGCCAAGCCGGAGTAGCTGAAGGAGTGGTCTATATATACGGACGTGAAATGATGTGAAATGGTCATTGCTCAGGAAATCGTGTGATCAATAGTTTGGAATTATTGCCTATATTCATACAGTAGTAAAGGTTGCGATATGTTTAAGAAAAAAAATTCTTCCTCCATATAAATATTTGAAAAAGTTACGAGGCAAAGATTGTTCATATCTAATCCGAAAATATTTGGATAGAAGAGTGTATTTCTACGAGTTATATGGCCAATAAAGTTGCAATGCATAAGAAACTTGGTGGCTGATTCTGCCAATCTGATGTTCACTTTGTCTGGTTTTGTTGCAGTATGCCCCAAATGAGCGAATATTATGATATAGGCAAAATATAGTAACATTATAGTTTCTTCTCACATCGCGCATAATTTCTTCCGTTGCAACTAGACGCTGCAATGGCTATACTAATGATAATAGAATTCTATTCATAAACAACCTTTTTAATTATTACCACTTTGTTTATTACAGCAACCATTTTCGAGAAAAGA